AGCTGATATATCTAAAACTGTCATTGTAACCATCTAAAGCAGTCAATACAGCTGATATATCTAAAACTGTCATTGTAACCATCTAAAGCAGCCAATACAGCTGATATATCTAAAACCGTCATTGTCACCATCTAAAGCAGCCAATAAAGCTGATATATCTAAAACTGTCATTGTAACCATCTAAAGCAGCCAATACAGCTGATATATCTAAAACTGTCATTGTAACCATCAAAAGCAGCCAATAAAGCTGATATATCTAAAACCGTCATTGTAACCATCTTAAGCAGCCAATACAGCTGATATATCTAAAACTGTCATTGTAACCATGTAAAGCAGCCAATAAAGCTGATATATCTAAAAAAAACTTTCATTGTAACCATCTTAAGCAGCCAATTAAGCTGATATATCTAAAACGGTCATTGTAACCATCTAAAGCAGCCAATAAAGCTGATATATCTAAAAAAAACTGTCATTGTAACCATCTTAAGCAGCCAATTAAGCTGATATATCTAAAACTGTCATTGTAACCATCTAAAGCAGCCAATACAGCTGATATACATTTTAATTAACATAAAAGTATGTATATTATCATCTAGTGATAATTGCATACATAAAAAATACTTCATTGAATTGCAATCCAATTTCTTGGTCCGCTTTCCCACAATGATAATAATATACAACATTTATATAGCTTCCTATATAATTTGTAAAATTACTTTAAAGCACTTTGAAACACATGGATAATAGTTTTTCTTGAGTGACAATTATAGATAAAGTAGATAAAAAGGCATACAAACCAGCAATATACATTAAGTAAGAAGACAATTATCTTAATATGCAAATAATGAAAATATAAAGGGTGGTGTGTACATGATGTCTGTGCAATGAGCCTAAAATGCAGATCTGAAGAGGTGGGTCTTTATTCTCTTCTTGAATTTGACCAGAGTTTTTGACTTTTTGATAGCAGATGGTAAGCTATTCCACAAAGCGGCCGAAACCCTCCCAATGCACCAGTTTCCATAGGTCACAGTAAGAGAATTTGGGACATACAGCAATGATTCTGTCTCGGACTGCAGTGATTGTGATGGCTAATACAGGGTAACAAGCTCTTGTTAATACTGGGGAGCTGTTACGTCCAGTGTTTTGTATGGGGACACCAAACTTTTGTACTGCAACCTGTATCACACATGTAACCAGTGCAATGAATATAACACAGGTGTGATTTTCTCTCTCTTTCGAGTGAGTAATCAGACGTGCTGCAGTGTTCTGGACCCTCTGCAGACGACTACCTAGTTTGTCAGATATAACACACATTACTGAAAAGTTCACTTGAACGTTTAGGACTTTAATAATCAATTTAACCAATTGAACACCAAATGTGTTAAAAGAATGCCACTTCTCCAGCAGAAACATAAATTTAATATGACTTGATTAACAAGCATTTGGTCGACAGCTATCTGTGGAGGGTTTCCAATCTTATTAATGTACTGTTAATTAGAAAGCTTTAATATGAAACAAATTATATAGCCTGGAATATCTACAAATCTAAGGCTGCTGATCGCCATGGATAGTTACATTAGATTGCTTCCTTACACCAGTGAGAGACTGAGGGCTCGTGTCAGTAGCCATTAGCACTTAATCCAGTCTGGCATGACATTAGATGGAGTTGTATCGTTTAGTTATGTCCTGTAGAGTAGCTAACATGATATGAACCATGTACATGACATCCCGAACCTGATGATGATGATTCAATGCTTTTAGCAGGTCAGAGTTCGGCCATTGTTCTCCAACGTGACACAACCTTAATTACATTGCCAATAATACTAGATTAGGTTAGGTGTTTCAAAATACCGCAATATTACCAAGGAAATTCCAATAATAGAAGATATACAACAATCGTTTATATTTGTAAAATCAATAAAAAGTTATTTTGTAAAACAAAGTATTGATCGACACCACACTGTCTGGTGATTGACTATCTACTGGTTAATGAAGCTTAGGCTTGCCTCCCTACAGAAACTTGTGTCGGGATGTTTACGAGGGGTGGGCGAGTGGTTTATCGTCGGTCCCCACCACTGTCTGATGCGTATCCTCTATCTGATGACGCCTGTATAAATAGCCTCTTCAACTACTTAAATCATACATCAATCGTAAAATGTTAAATTTAGATTTTGTTTCAAGATTTACACTTCAATTTGTTTTTGATTGCTGCACAAAAACATTTTTTCATTCTGAGTGAATACAGGTTTTTAATTGCTATAGAATTGATCTTAAAGATTAAACGAGGTATGAAGCAGTCAAAATGTTTTTATTGGATCCATTCTCCTACGTTGTGTACATGCAAATGTAATTATCATGTATAAGGATTCGGTTTCCTAACTGTTTGTCAAATATGTTGATTGCTCATCAATTAAGTAAATTGAAAGGACCTTTTATCTGTACTTGTAGGATTCTTGTATTCTTGTATATTATTGCAATAAATCATACTTTTGAATAAAACCCGGGTGAGGCCTGTACTTTATTCTATGGAATCATAGCAGAAAAAGTCATATCAGAACTCAGCGATTGATTTTTTAACACTTATGAAATATAAGTATTTATATAATCTGTCTGTATTGTTACAGGTTGTTAATACACTTTGTTGAAGGTCAATTAAAGGCCAAGGTCACTAAGTTAAAAGCTTTTAAAACATCAATCTTTCTAATTGTAATAATGGGATATCACAAAACTTGATTAAATTGTTAAAAAAAACCCACATGAACAAGACAGAAAAGGGTCAAAGTCAAAGGTCAAGGTTGTTTGAGTAAAGGTTTTGAATGGTTGCAGCAGTTCTTGAGTGTAACTTTATGGTTTGCACATAGTATTCCTAGTTAATTTTTGAATGCAGTATAACACTGTTAACCTAAAATGAGATATCTTCTTTTAGTTAATTGAAATGAAATATATCAAAATAGACTTCATTTCAACAATTATGATTAAAACATCATTTTTATTATAAAGAGGGATGTGTCCACTGACTATGAACATATCTCATTTCCCTTGTGTCAAACATCAGTATTTTTGAAGAAAGGTTTTGGTGACCAAACATATAAGCAGAGCTTTTTCAGCATTTCTGGTCCAAATACATATACATACCTCTGCAAAAACTGTGTAGGTGTGCAAATAACATGGGTTTTTACATTAATTAATCAAAATTTATCTTGAATTCATGATCTAGTGTCATTATGAATGAATTAAAAAATGTACATATTATGAATAAATGGTGTACAGTCCTCCGATGATTGTTATGAACATTTTTTTTTTTTTTTAATTTAACATTTTGTTGTACACAGGACGTTGTTTCCACCAGACTTACACTACCTGGCGGAGGAAAGCCTGAGGATCACCGACATCCCTGAGGACACAAGGTCTTACATGTTGACTTTAAGTGAGTTAGGACGTCTATGCAGTGTGTATAGTGACATATGTGAGGAATACGCTCATGTGTTCGCTTATGACTACCGCAGTCAGGAGGGACAGAAACTCATTCGTGACGACAGGTATAGGCGCAGACAGCAGAGAGAGGGACAAGACAGTGAACAAAACCCCTTGAGTGTGGAGAATGGGGAATGACTTAAAGGGGAGAAACTCAAGGAGGAGAAGTTTGAGAAGAATTCACACAATCTGTACCTCCAAACAGTGGAAAATTAGATATTACACTGGCAGTGTTAATAAAAGAATTAGTGTCGAAGTGTGATGTCAATTGTTAGTAGATTTATGGTATATAAATGGAGTGAGGGATGTTTGTTTTCTTTTTTGTTTGTTTGTTTGTTTTTATCATTTTGAAACTTTGACAATTCCAATATATTTATAACTGGATTAAAGTTTTGAACTAGTTTTTTTGTCTCACATCAGACTAGTTCAACTCAATGGTCCTGAACAACAACCAACATTAACGAGTTTAGCAAAATAAGGCTGCACTCACACTCACAGTGACCTGTCCTACTTTTGATAGCCAGAGTATTTCTTCTGTTTACAATCAGAGTGACATATCATGGTTTATTGAGGTTATTAAGGTTATAGAGGTCAAATAAGTAACCTTGATCTTTTAAGGTCACAGGGTCAAATATATTCAAATATATTCAAATATATAAATGTATATGAGTTCTTCTCAAAAACCATAATTTCTAGATTGGCCTGTGGCTAGTTTGAACCAGGAGCTATCAAAGTTGTTAAAATAAATTACCTTGACTTTTATTCATAGTCCCACGGGTTATAATGAATTCTTCTCAAGAACCATAAAGCTTAGGGTCTTGATATTTTGTCTGTAGCTAACTTAGAGAGTGAGCTATATAAAATTGCACTTGCAAACATCACTGTTAACCCCGTTGGAACTTGGGACTAGCTCTTTCCGTTTTAAATTTAAAATTACTTTTAAAAAACCATAAGGCCTTTGGTCATGATATTTGGCCTGTATTTACCTAGCTAAGGTGGCAGTCTATCTAATTGTTCAAATGTATTACCTTGACCTTCATTCAAAGGCACAGGCATTAAATATGTTAAAACTAGGGTCATGATATTTGGCCAGTTTCTATTTTGGATGGAGGATTACTGTTACAATATAGAAAGTCTTTCTTATCAATTATACTGGAGCAACCAATAACCCCCATGGGCCTCTTGTTAGATATAGGATTTTGGTTGATTTATAAGTGCTGTTTGGGCCTTACTTATTGAATATACAGTAATTCCTTGGTTGATATGTATGTCACCAGGCATTGATTATTAAATATATTGTATGTATTTGGTTGATAGGTATGTGTCATAGGGTCATTGCTTATTAAATATACGTCTAGGCTGTTATTGTATATAGATGATTAGCTCTGGTTAGTTAATGATAGAGTCACCAGGAATCTATTACTGTGTTGTTGGTGTTACTTTCATTATGGGTATATAAACACCCACACCTGTGATTACCGTGTCACTGGCTGTGTGTCTCTTGGGCAGGTGTCAGGGCTATCTTATTGATCTCACACAGTCAGGCTACGGAGGAGATTCCTGTCATACTCAGTAGACAACCACATTTTACTGGGTTCTCCAAACTAACAGTGGGTTAAAAGTTTTGACATAACAAATTCAAAATGAAAAATAATTGAATAATGTAATATTTATCTTGGCTGATACAAAAATCATAGCTTATTATGTTGTCTGGTGGTATCATACAAGTTATGATAGGGATAGGTATTTCACACTGATGACTTACAAACTAAAGTCAATTTATAGTACACGGCCTGCTGACATTACTGATATTCAGGCCTTGTTGCTCAAAGGTTGGTTAACTTTCATCAGTGGTTAGTGAAAAATCCAGGATGTTTCCAATAAGTAGCAAGGGCTTTTGAAGCAAAATTAATCCTCAAAACACCTCAATCTTATTTGTCGCAACCAGTCCATAGCAGTGAAATGATGTAAGTTTTTTTTATTTTGTTGTACTTATATTTGCTACTTACCGGTATATTCACTGTCATGATGAATTTGCCCTGTTGCGTAAGGCAAAAAAGGCAAAAATTAAACTGTAACGAAAATTTCTCTGTATACAGTACCCCACTCCTAGTCTCGCAACACAAATAATACTTAGGGATACTAAGTATTTTACGTACATTACCTACTCCTAGCCCCCTTCACACAAATAACCTTTGTGGATACAAAAACTACTAATGTACGTACCTCACTGCCCGCTTTATTGTGTCTTTACATTAATGAAGAGTGACCGGTCACTCTTCTTTAATATTAAAATTCATGGGATAAAACTTGAAATGTTTTGCCAAGCATGATTTAAGTTTGTTCCTATTTCATAAAGGAACAACACTATTTAAAAATGTAGCAAATACAGTTTTGTTGTGTTTGTAACTTGCACCACATGAAAACCATTGCCGGGATACAGAGAGTGCAGATAGGTGACACATCTCATATGTACAGCCCAGAAAATACTGCATTTACATATCTTCACAGTGAGAGCCAGTTGTTAGACTCCGCCTATATGTAATTTTTCTCAGAGATCATAAAAGCTATTGATTGTTGTGTGAAAATTACTACAGATGCCACTGAATCATTCCAATGAGACATGCTTTGTCATAAAGACGGTAAGAAATAAAAAGATAGAATTGAAAGTGCAGTAATGGACTGTTAACTATTCATAGGTGTATTACTATTCATAGGTATCACTATTCATAGGTGTATCACTATTCATAGGTATCACTATTCATAGGTGTATCACATCAACTGTTACTAAACTAAATCTAAATCTATAAGACCTCAGACAAATCTGGTCAGACATGTCAATTTAAATCTTTAACTTATGATTTTAGGAATCTGTTACCCACTATCTTATACCGATATACAATCTTATGTGTCATCATATTTGAGGAATCACGTTTCATTCTATGTTTTGACAGTGGGGCTATTATATTGGTGACAGTTGGTATTACAGAGGTTTAATTTTATGTATTGACAGTGGAGCTGTTGTCATGGTTACAGTTGGTATTTAAAGAAGTTTAATCCTATGTATTGACAGTGAGCTTGTTGTCGTGGTAACAGTTGGTATATAAAGAAGTTTAGTTCTATGTATTGACAGTGGAGCTTGTTGTCATAGTAACAGTTGGTATATAAAGAAGTTTAATTCTATGTATTGACAGTGGATCTTGTTGTCATAGTAACAGTTGGTATATAAAGAAGTTTAATTATTTGTATTGACAGTGAGCTTGTTGTCATGGTAACAGTTGGTATATAAAGTAGTTTAATTCTATGTACTGACAGTGAGCTTGTTGTCATGGTAACAGTTGGTATATAAAGAAAATTAATACTATGTATTGACAATGAGATTGTTGTCATGGTTACAGTTGGTATATAAATTAGTTTAATAAACGCGCTCCATAAAGAATATGTTCGTTACCAACTGCGTTCATACTACCGTATACGCAGTCAAAATGAAGGTCAATCCTTAAATATTTACATTCGCTCCCATTGAAGCTGTGTAAACCGTGACTGCGTATACATTACCGCGTTAGCGTTAGCGCTCCATAAAGAATATGTTCGTTGCCAACTGCGTTCATACTACCGTATACGCAGTCAAACTGAAGATCAATTCTTATATTTACATATTTTCGTACTATGATGGTACACTCAGAATAAAGCTAACTCCAATACATTTGCTTTTATAATGGTACAAAGCCTCCGTAACGTGCGTAAATCCAAACAAATGAACAGCCTACAGCCTGCGACCAGCGATGGATCTCCAACGTTACCATTATGATGTCACAATGTAAATTACATCATCAATAGGAAACAATGGTCTCCAAGGAATCTCACTGCGTATACGGTAATGTATACGCAGTCACGGTTTACACAGCTTCAATGGGAGCGAATGTAAATATTTTTATGTATTGACAGTGGAACTGTTGTCATGGTTACAGCTGGTATATGAAGAAGTTTAATTCTATGTATTGGCAGTGAGCCTGTTGTCATGGTTATAGTTGGTATATAATAAAGATTGAAATATGCATTGACAATAGTATATTGTCATGGTGACAGTTGGAATATAACGAAGTTTTATTTTATGTATTGACATTAGTATGTTGTCATGGTTACAGTTGGTATATAGGGAAGTTTGAATTTATATTTTGATATGAGAGCTGTTGTCATGGTGACAGTTGGTACATAAGGAAGTTTGATTTTATGCATTGACAATAGTATATTGTCATGGTGACAGTTGGTACATGAGGAAGTTTGATTTTGTGCATTGACAATAGTATGTTGTCATGGTGACAGTTGGTACATGAGGAAGTTTGAGTTTATGCATTGACAATAGTATGTTGTCATGGTGACAGTTGGTACATGAGGAAGTTTGATTTTGTGCATTGACAATAGTATGTTGTCATGGTGACAGTTAGTATATAATGAAGATTGTTTTGCGTATCGACATTTGAACTAGTGTCATGGCGACAGTTGGTACATAAGGAAGATTGCTTTTTTGCATTAACAGTTATTTCTTGTCATAGTTATTGTATACATGACAGTGATTTCTGTTTCTTAATATTTGTAGCAATGACAACCATGTTTCATGGCCTTTGGAGAAATTACACAATAACACTCTTTCTTCGCCTTTGCTGAAACAAAACGACAAGATGTTTCCGTTTCCGTTTCTCCACCTTTGTAAAACTGATACGATGTTTCTGTTTCTTGCACTCTGAAGAATTTAAAACAACACGGTGTATTTCTTTTTCTGAACATTAATAGAAATGGCTCGAGGTTGGTTATGCTTGAATTTTGTTTCTCAAACGTTGAGGAAAGGATACGATGTTTTTTGACTGTGTTATTTCTAGAAATGACAAAGGATTACATATTTTATCAGATACATGAACAGTCAACGGCTAAAATAAATAAGAATTCGATTAAAATGTATATAGTGTATAGTTATAATACTGACGGAACTCTTTGTAAAAGTAAGTTTTGTACTGACATTTGTCTGTCATTGTGTCTGTTTTGTTTACATGTAATCTGAGATTGATTTAAACCATCAGGCTTCACTACCCTTGAAACCATTCAGTGAACCGCGCATGAACGCATTCTGAACATAACCTTCGGGGCTTGTTCTGTAGACCACATTGACATTGGGCCTTGTATGAACATTTTCAGTAAATTCCGAAACACAACGACAACTCCACATTACAGGGACCTTGTTCATCTTGCCTAGACCATGACGCGCTTATGAACCAATACAATCCAACTGAGAAGCTCGCCTGGTGTGTTAACGGAAGCTTAACAGAAAGAAAACAGTGATGAACTAAATGGATGTAGTTTCACAAGTATCACTTTGTAACGGACGGCGATCGACAATCAAAGAGGCTAACCTAGTTAATAATGAAAGAATATGGCTACGTCTGATGATGAGCGTAAACTTGTTATTAAACAGTCAGTACTGTTCACGCAACTTTAAGGATGTACATCTCTGAGAAGTCTAACAATTTATGTATTAACCTTTTAATCTTATATGCATTTTTGGAAAGAAGAGGTTAATGTTATAGAAGAAAATGCGAAATAGATTACATGTTCGTGTGTTCGTTTTTGTGCTATGATCGTCAAAGATGCCAAAGAGTACATCCTTAACAGGTCCAGTACACTCTGCCGATTTAGCTTTATAGCTGTAAAGACCTATAATAACTCTATTGACCTATCTGAAATAGGTCTTTTGAGCTATTTTCAAGTGTTTTTCTTTTTTAAGGAAAACGAAACAAAATCGCTTTTAAAAGAAGATTGCATCATTAGGTTGATAACAAAAGACATTAATATAAGTATTCTTTTTAAAAAATAATGATGTAAAAAAAAAACGGAAATTTTACATTTATGAAAAATGAAAATAAAAATCTAACTGTATGGTTTTTGTAGTCACCATTACCAAAAACCTTATTGTTTTATGCGACTTTGCTTTAATTTAATGAAAATTGAAATCTCAGAAAATATAGCTCAATACAGCTATACTTTATAGGTGTATAAAGCTATATAGCTCAATCGGCAGAGTGTACTGGACCTGCTTAATACAATAAAAAAAAAAAAAAAAAATTACACCAACTTTAATCCAAAAAGACGTAAGCCGGATTACTATATTAGTAAATGCGACCCTTTTCTTATATCATTATTATGACTTTTTCAATGGCCCATCAACACAGAAAATGTCATTAGAGCCTACTAAATGCAAACAAACAAGAATTAACATTGCACTTTGACACCGCGCATGGATAGGGTAATTAATTAGGTTTATGATGGGCGTATAGAAGTGTCCACCTTTGTTTATTTCCGGAAGCTGGGTGCATAACTTCCGGGCACTGGTTGGCGGTGTAGGGTCACTCGCATTTGTATTCGTACAGTGCCCGGTAATGACTCGCCCATCAATCGACCCCTTGGTTTATGAACCCATCGTCTTTTTTTGTACTCAGTATCGAACTTCTGCTTTTTAGTGTTGAAGTCGTTTGTGTTTCTGAAGAATATTTCACTTAGCGGACATCCGGTTAATGACTTGCCTTCCGGTTTATATATTCGATTTGCTATTAGTATATTGAGTCTCATTTTTTATGACGTCTCGATTATTGCATTACTTTTTTCATCCTTTCGTTTGTTTTTGGTATCGGATCCATCAAAAGGTTTCAGTATTTCCATTTGACGGAAGCGACGTTCTATGATGTATGGTAAGTCGTTACTTGCCGTCCGTGCACTTTCTTGCACGGAGTATTACATTATTACACGTGATTTTCTAAATGTGTCCTATATTATGAAGCTCATTTCCTTTCACCATACATTACAAAAAACAAAACATCGTCAAATGTATAGACATCAGCAGTACAGGAAAAGTTTACACGAAGCCCTAACGTACTTCGTGCTATTTTCCTGTAACCCCGAGGCATTCATACTCACTATGCGAATGTGGTGATGATGTATTCATATTGTGTTTGCATTTGTTTGCATGGTATTCATGTTTCCATATGAATTAGGTGGCATGACAATCATTTTCTCTATGAATGTGTTTGCGTGACACATTTTCTCTGTGAATATGGGGGCATGGCATTCATGTCCAATTGGCATTTATAGCGTCTTTGAGAGCCAACTGAAAGCACCTCCATGCTTAAATGATTGCAAACTGAAACTTGACAAATTCCATTCAGCACTCTAGCCATCTAAAAGCTGAGCAATATTTGTATTTCACAGTTTTTATTTTTTTAAATTTCATAGAAAATAAAAGCTATTATCAAAATTCAGCCTTTAGTTCAAATAAGGGTATGTATCGTGTGCTTGTTTAATGTTGCAGTATGTACTTCATATTTCTATTAATGTGGTGGCATGGCATTTATATTCCTCGTGAATCCCAACTGATAGCAGTTCAATGTTTAAATAGCGTACTTATTACTTAAGTTATTACTCAATACGTTATGCACTTTCAAGTAAATTGTTGCACGTTCATGAAAGTAACAGATGTGTTGATAACTAGGTCGCCCTAATCAGGTGTGTGTTTGTATGTTTACAGAAGTGTCGTTACTGACTTTCGTACCATACTAGACATATAGCAGATTACCCCCCTCCCACGTGCGCCTTGTCTACGTCCCTCCCCCTGGGGAGTGCAGATCGCGGGACCGATAAACGACAGCACGAATGCTACGCAGTTGGCGTCAATAAACATAAGTAATAAGACGGTGTAGATGATCACATTATATGATATTTTCCGGAATAAATTTCTCGAGTCTAGTGTTACAGGACCAATGATTGCGCTTCTCCTATCAACCGTAACCTCTCTTGGGAAATGAACAGTGACGCTAATAGTATAAAAGGATTGGTGTTTGAAAGTGTTGTGTGTTTACCACGATGTGGAAGACAATAGATGGAAGTGGATCTGTGTGAATATATAACACATTTATTTTTGAGGTGATTAAGTTGCTCGGCGCTTCATTTATTATTACGCCCAATGACAGGCAGAATTCGACGCAATCAATTATACATCGCTTAATTTTGTTTACTCCATCCAACTGGGATTTGCACAGTCAATGTCTCGCCGGTACAACCACTAACATGTCCTTTGTCTGCTTACACAAGTATACAAACATATCCTTTGTCTAGTATTGTGTAATAAAATCTTCCTGACTGAAAAATGATTGTTAATTTAGTCCGCTAATGTTTTCATCCGATTTTTTAAAAATGTATTTTATAACTCTCACTCAAGAACAAAGGAACGATGTTTTCTTTCCATTTAATGAATGATGCTTCCTTTTTGCATAATCGGAGAACAGTTTCTTTTTCGATTGGTCTGAAAAACGATAATGTTTTCTGGTGGTCCGTTTGAAGAGTATTTCCATTTGGTCCGACTAAAAATGGCGCACTCTAATTGTCCGATTAAAGAACGATGTTTTCTATTGGTCCGATTAAAGAACGATGTTTTCTATTGGTCCGATTTAAGAACGATGTTTTCTAATGGCTCTATTTAAGAACAAGGTTTTCCATTGGTCGAAATATAGAATTGTGCTTTCCATTTTTCTGAACGATGTTTTAAATTGGTCGAATAAGGGAAAAGGGAATTTCACGTACCGAAAAAGTCTGTTAGTCTGCAAAATCATTGCAGTAGTTACCCCCTTATTTTACGTGGCTGACCAAATGTACTTTTACTACAGGGTTAACATCCATTCTCGCCGAGAATCTGTCCTAGACTCCTACTACCAGACGATGTATGTTATTCGGTCAAGAAGTTCGTCTATACCGCGGTATCAGAGTCAGTAACTGTCCCTTTACGAGTCCAGATACAGGTTATCGACCACGGTATAGAAGCACATGCCTTTTGATGTCTTTTACCCACTGGTTACCATTCCTATAAAGGTATTATGTTACTCATACAAAGGACATCGCCGTTCTAGCTCAACATTCTTCTTCGACTGTCATGCAAGAGCGACAGCGTACGTGCTAATTCTTGAGTTGGTTTTAATTTCGATATGTAGTTCGTTATGATGATGTACATGTTGCGTCTGGACCTTTTTGGTTGTGTGTGACGTAGATCATTGAAACATCACTCACATTCTGAAGACCATTATTGAATTCGCGCCAAACATTGAGGGGCGAACCGGAATGCCAGGCTAGTATGAACACCGATATGGTTTTAATAATCTCGACGCTATCCCAATGGTTATTGCAATATTTGTGGGCTGTTCCAACAATGCCGCATCTTATTGACGTCTCTAATGGTTGTTGGGTGCTGCTAGGCGAAGTTGCACAGGTAAACAGACGGGTCCTAACGGAGCTCCAAAGTTAACGTCATCATCGCTTCGATGACTCTGCAACATCGTAATTCCTGATAACCAAAACGAGCGGATAACGCGCTCTGATCAATTTCCTTTATTGAGTCTGACTATAGATTTTAGTGTGGCAGGAAAAGTGTGCAGTCATCTAGCGGCGGCTCTATAGACAGGTAATTGGCCTTAGTATTTGGAACCGTTGGTCACCGCTATGTCACTATTCGATCGGCGTTCCACTGGACTCGGCTGTGAGGCGATGGTGTTGGGTAGGCAGTTTTAAGGGCTCCGCAAATCCGATTACACCCAACTGTTTGTTTAAGATAAACCCCATAGATGGTGAAGTGATGGACAATCCGTGTTCAGGCCGTCACGGTTTAGTTCAGTACAGGGTGGCCCGGTACATCTACCCCCTCGTAGCCTACCAGACTACAATAATCTCGGTTACAGAGTCAGAGATACGTTTAAGCAAGGAATACAATTGGAATATATAAGGTTTCTGAACTGTACCAGAACCCTACAAAAGGCGTAGGTTGCCATTTGACAACCGTCTCTGACGTGGTAATACATTCCAGCACGTATCAACTGGACAATACGAGGATTAGCACTTTTAATAATGGATATAATTCCTTATGGAACTTGTAAACCCATTTCACTAAAACAAACGGACGTTTTAAAGTGATTTTGGGTTTCGTTTAACAATTGTTTATGTAGTGCTGATGAATATTTATCAAAGGAAGTTGTCCCAATACAGGTTCGCAACTAGTAAGGCCTAGTTAGTGAGGTTTTTAGTGTCGACATCCGGGTTACATTATTGAGGAGTTCCTAAACATTTATGGGATGGTGATGATGCCGTTGTCAAAACAACTGGTACCAGGTGCTGACGCCGCGTTCACGAAGGGGGACGTACCATGTATGTGTTTTTATTACTTATAATCAATTATATTTTATTACTATGGAATTTACGCAACAGTTCGCCCGTCTGTTATGCTGAAATCCAGTTTTGGTGTAATAAATCAAATTAACCTCACTTTCAAAGTAAAAAACACACGACTAGTTATCAACACTGCAGCATACCAAATGCCTGGTATGGCCGTCACGTGCCAATCAATGACGTCGTGGTTTAGAAATGTTCTGGTATCATAAAACGCTTTGCTATTAGACACATGTGTATCCTTTGGGTGCCGTTAAATGGAATGACATGTCATCAAAACTAGGACATTTAGTTCCGGAAATGCATAAGGTAGATTAATTTCGATCTAATTTGTGATTATTTAGTGTGTGTTGATACTGTGGAATACAAATCGTGTTAATCATTTGTGGATAAGGATACCATATACAAAAACGGCAATAGTGACGGACAAATACTTGTATACATGATATTACGAGGAATATGTGATGTTTAAAATCCAAGTAAGTTATATCGGGGGGAAAAAGGAAAAATTAAAAGTGTATTTTAAGATGATGTCATCATTGGAGAAAAGAATTTCGTTTTTCGCTTGGGGGTTTTGATGGAAACAAAGGAGAACAAAGTACCGGAACCGGAAGTAGATGTGAAGAAAGAAGATGTAGCTGTTGAGCCCCCCTCTACGGAGGGGGTCCCGGGGTTAGATGATGATCCTGGAGGGTACGGCGCGGGATCAGAAAGCACAATATCCAGTGGAATAGGGACGGGGAAGAGCTCGGAGAACAACTCCGACACAATGTCGGTGAGTTCCGGTGGGACTATTCAGTCCGTCCCGACATCTGGAAAGGTTTTGGGTCTGTGTCAGAGGGGCGAGTGGATGACTCTTGACCAGCACCTTCGGGCACTCCAGAAGGGTCACACTGACCTCTCCCAACAGGATGAGGTAAGTAACTTTCTTTATCTAAAGTGATCTCAGTCATTTTCTGTAAATGGACTCAATACTTATTCAGTGTTCGATGTATTCTTGAGTCCGTTTTGTTTCAAGTGGTACTTTTGTATTCGTCTAGAAGTTAAGGACTTGTTAGGGTATCATCTATCTTCTAGTATCTTGATTTTAGTATGAATCGTGAATAAGCCGCGCGACTCTTGGATTCAAGTTTATATAAAAAATAAATCCAATTTTGTATACGGTTAAAAAGTGTGCTTGCTTATTTATAGATATTTTGTATATACCGAATAACAAAATGCGTTTAACCTGTTAATCGTTTTGGTTCTCGAGTCCTGTCACGTGTTGATATGGTAACCCATGTGTACATACTCGACATAAGAGATACGCCGGATTTTGGTCAAAATCTCTATCGAATTATCAAATCAAAATTTGACCTAGTGTGATAAGCAGAATAACAGATGTGAAATATTTCATTTGAGCCTTTGTGGCTGAGAGTAACATATTCGCCTTTATTTTAAATGCGCACTGCCGTCAAAAACCCGGCTCTTTTCGGACTACATGAAGTAGAAGAACTGTTTCGCTGTAGTAACCTAAAAGTATCGATTGCATTTTCCAATAAACAAACATTATATTGAACGAATCAATTTTATGATTTTCCTTGTGTGAATTGTTCATTCCAGCTATTAAAAAGAAGGAAATTGAGAGAATGTTTGTAATATAACAAAAGCCCTGCTAGCTATGCTGATTTAATTGGCCGTTCCTATATGAAACAATCTCTATCGTAGTTTCCATTTTTTTCAGTAAATCTTTAGGGAAATAACACGTTTTAATTACGAAACATTGTTATTGGTTTTTATTATTGAATTATTTATTGTTTGTAACATCCTGACAGGAAATATAGACATTTATTTGACTGACACTGTTGGAAAATCGAGTAAAAGTCATGTATACTAATATTGTGACTGGAAGTATTATTTAATGGATTGCCTACAATATTCTTTTTTACTTTTCGCCATTCTTCACCTACAAAATATACAAAGGCATAAACACACCGCCTACCAGAGAGAAGCACCAAACATGTAATCCAGTCTTGAAGTAACATGAGATTATAATCATTTGACCGGAAGTAACCTTAGGTAATTTTGTGACCGGAAGTAACCTGAGTTAGTTATAATGAAATAGAAGTATCATGATGTAATTATAAATGAGATCGGAAGTATCCTCAGATAAAATTATGTATGCAAAAGTAAGCTGATGTAATGAAGATATTACTTGCAGTAACCTAAGACGATAATAATGTGGCCTAAGTAATATCAGACGATTAGATGTAATCGGAAGTAATATCAGACGATTAAAATGTGATCGAAAGTAACCACAGTTGACAATAATGTCAACTGAGGTAATTTTTTTACAATGGGGGGGGGGGGGGGGGGGGGGACACGTTGTCCAAGTGGTTAAGGCGTCTGACATTCTGCTACCATTAGCCCTCCACCACTGAGGTCGCGTGTTCGAGGCCTAGGCGAAGAAGTCGCCAGATACTGACCGTAGGTCGGTGATTTTTCTTCGGGAACTCCGGCTTTCCTCCACCAACAATACCTGACACGTCATTAAATGACCATAGCTATTAATAGGACGTAAAACATAAAAAACCAAAACCAAAACAAATTGAGATATGTTTTAGAGCTGACAGAACATTGGTAGGAGAATATAAGGAGATTGGGTATCTGAGATTAGAGGAGTCGGGGATGAGGCTATGAGAAGGGGGTAAGAGGATGGGATAGTAACGGAGAATTCAGAGGTAGGGAGGGCAGTTTATCAGGTAAAATATGGCAAAAATATGAGGAGACTACGAGTTGTAATTAAAGTACAGGAACATTTTTAAAAAAAATTGGTTAGACAAAGGCGTGTGAACAGTAACAGTAACATATAGAGTTATTTGGAATTATTGGACGGGTGGCAAAGCATTACAGGAATGTTAACGGGGGGAAATAGGAGAGGATTGGTCGAGGATGGTTATAGATGAGTCGTGAATGACATCTAGAAAACTTTCTGAGAAGCGCTACACAATAGAATTGAATCGTCTCAAAATAGTGTACATAACAGCTACTCATCTTGTTTCGCGTGTACGGAAAAGAGACGGCACAACCACCATTCACGAGGTCCTTGCCCTGGCTATCAATCGTACCAAGTACATTTAAGCGTCTGGTAAAGTTTAAAGGCCCTTTGTAGAAATTATCCACTCTATCTCGAGAACTAATGCTACCATACGTTCCAACACCGACGTCTTTATATCTCTCAGCGTTACGCGCAAAGTAAACATGCCGCCATTTTGTCCGCATATACATTGCATCATACTGAACAATATCATTTTACAGAAACCGATGTTTTAACAATTATGGACCATTCTTCGGATATCTAGAAACGATGTTGTTTCAGATATTTATGTAAACCGCTTTAGAGATTATGTTTCTATACGTTCATGTGAAATTATTTGGAGGCAAGGTAGTCTTCGCCGGGTTCGTGACCAAAGGGTTACGGGTTCGAGTCACGGCGCGGCACTATGTTGTATCTTTGAGCAAGATCCAGTCTACTCAGCTGAAAATGAGTACGTGGTTTGGCAGTGCTAGAATTGTTGAATGCTAGCTGTGAGCGCCGAAATGGCAGCACCGGCCGTATGCTCATCAGGGGGTTGAGAAAGATATTGGCTGGTTGCAAAGGCCATATAACTACGGATGATAATTTGTGAACCGCTCGGAAACGACCTACAAACTAGGTTGTGATAAAGCGGTATATGTGAACCTCGAATTATTATTATTATTATTATTATTATTATTATTATCATTATTTTTAGTATGTGTATATTTTGATTTTTTGAAAGTTTATCTGGGTTACAACTCTTGTGGGCCCCGATCTGGTTGTAATTGTTGCAGATGCTGATCAACCTTGACGTCCTATTTGTTTGTGTTTTACAATACCAACATATCAAATCAGCCGTATTAAATATTTACACTGCAATGATACTGTAATGTATTGGTACTTAGTGTCATTGCTACGAGGTTTATAATTGTTTTTTTAGAATTGTTTAGCTATTCAATCCAATAATAAATACACAAAGGTCCGGGGTCCGTCGAGGTGTGGTATCCTAACAGGTGTATAATAAACCGTCATAATGCTAACACTAGTTCGTGTTTTTGTTGCAAATGTCGATTAAGTTTTTCTTTGATATTATTTATACGATAGTGCTTAGATGATATATATATATATATATCAGTATGTATGCAGGAGTGGTACTACTCAATACAGAAACAATGTCTTCGTAGGAATTTTACAATTAAGTATACTTACATATTTACATTTCCGTTGCAGTTACAGTATTTAGTTATGACGCCATGTTTTTCAATATGAAGCTTGACAAATTGCTTCAAATAACACTGTGAATGCATTTAAAATATCGCTCAAGTGGCAATGATTTTTGCAGTGTAAACTAAAGAACCATTTCAGTTAAATGATCGATACGAACTGAACGGTATGTTTTGTAATTGATAAAAGCAACCAATTACAAATATACACCGTTGTATCCCTATGTAACAAGACACAGAGAAATACAACGGCCAGACCGGGCTTCGAACAACCCGGGACCTTCCGAACTCTAGTCTAGAGATTACTCGGACGTTCTACCAACTGTGCTATCTGGTTGCCTACGATCGACCAAGTCCAGTTTCACTACATTCTTCCCTCCTTTTTCTAGGTCTTCTCCCCCGAAGACACAACTATTTACAACCAAGGTTCGGATATATCCTTGCTAAGCATTCACCAAGTGCTTGAAACAAGGGTTGGCAAGCTCGCCAATTTTGTAACCGGAGAAAGAGAAATGCAACGGCCAGACTGGGTTTGGACCCTCCGAACTCCAGACAGAAGTTCTACCAATACACGCATATGGTATTTGTAAACTTTTTCAGTCGAAACCGTTTTTATTATTGCCGTGACAGTATGAACATCTCAGAAGATGTACATGCATGCTTTATTGAATGTATACTTCACTGCAATTACTTTGGTATGGCAACCAGTAAGCTGCCTGAATGTTTCTAAAAGCTAAGTAAGGTTCATCCGCTTCCTGTATATATCACAACCGTTGCGCGTTTCTGTCACAGTTATTACCCTTATTATTGTTGTTTTTTTTGTCGATTGTTGTTTGCTTTTATCAAGACCGTTTTACATGTTTTGATTATAACATTTGCTTGTTTTGATGGTAGCTTCTTTTGATCACAGCCTTTTGCTCTTTTGATGACAACTGTTGCTTTGTTTTGATCACTTTGCTCACAACATTTGCTCTTTTGATGACAACTGATGATTTGTTTTGATCACTTTGATCACAACCTTTGCTCTTTTGATGACAACTGTTGCTTTCTTTTGATCATGGTCTTTGCCTTTTTCCATAATTTTTGCTCGTTCTATTCACAACTGTTACTCGTCTTGTTCAATGTGATAACTCGTCTTGTTCAATGTGATAACTCGTCTTGTTCAATGTGATAACTCGTCTTGTTCAATGTGATAACTCGTCTTGTTCAATGTGATAACTCGTCTTGATCGTACTGATGCTTGCTTAGACCACAATCATTGGTAGTTTTGAACACATTCTGTGTCGGTTTTACCAAAAGAATAAGCTTGTTTTGATGATAACCCCGCTGCTTATGTTGAACTTAGTCACAGTTAGTTATAGTAATATAACTGTTGTTTGTTTTGATAATCAAAACAAGTTCGTTTTAATCACGTTTGATATTAACAAAACATTTTTCTGTTTGAGCACAGTGTTTTGTTTTGATCTCAACCTTATTATATTGTATTTTGTTTTTAACATTTTATTGTTTTAATTACCAATGAGCTTTTTTTCTTATTTAGTGTTCACTTCTTCCAGCTTTGTGAATTTAGTTTGGCCGCGGCCTCCTATATTTGACCACCGTATTTTCTGCTGAACGTTACGGAAGCCATTATGG